AAAAGTTTTAAACATGAAGTATGGCTCAATTGAAAGGGCCGAAATGTATTGTGCAAGTATTAAAGGTCAAGGAGAAAAAGAGAGACTCCCTGAGTTAGTCCCGTCGATAAAAGAGCTTACTGGACGGGCATACCCAACAACTGACCTTGCTGTAATAAATACATTAGGCCATTTCATAGATGCCTTAACTGACCCTGACATAAGCTGCACCTTCGAGAAGCAAGGCTGATGAACATCAAATTTGAAGAGGCTCAAAGGGGTAAAACAATTAACAGTATCAAATTTAATTAAACATATTGAGAAAACAAACAGTATTCAAGATCAAAAGTCCATAAAACAATACAAAATAGGGGCAGAGCAAACACGGACCACCTCCAAAACTTTACAAGTGGGATCAGGTGCCATGGAGGAGTGAGCATTCCCTACTGACGGGCAGACCCACCGAGTGTTCCTTGTCATGATCGGAAAATAACGGAAAAATCCGTCGTCAATTCTGTTATAAATAATGGACTAACAATTCGTATGAAAAACGTAAATCAGCATTTGAATCAACGATAAATTGTTTTTGCTGACAAGGCCATTGTATCGACCATAGAACTTACGAATTTATTACTTTAAACAAAAGTGATATTCTTGTTTCATCAACTTGTAATCGGTATCGACTCAAGAAGGAAAGTTACCATTGTTAATTGACAGTGCATCGTCGATATATCAGTGTCGAGTTGAAGGCCACAACAAGTGCTTTCTTTTCAGGCAATTTCTGCTTTATATAAATGTCTGCTAATAATGCGGCGCAATTAGTACCCAAAAAGTGTCCAAAAACCACAGATATTGGCAATCAGAAACAAGCATCTTTTTGATGTCAAGTTCAGAGTACTTGTGTTTACAATCAGTATGGTCTCAGAAGTGGGCAGGCCCTTTCATTGTTGTTTACAAGATAATTATTTTAAAAAATTAAGAAAAGTCCAAAACATAGGAATGAAGTTTTATATCCATCATAGCCGTTTGAAACCTTATGAGGGAGAGAACAAACCCACGTGGTTTCATGCATAGAAATTTCTTTCAAAATGAAAAAGTGTTAACTTTACTTAATCAGTGAATATTTTTGTAGTAGAAAAGTAAATTATATATATGCTACCTTCTTTGCCCTTAAATAGGTGCAACGATTTAAATGTGTGTTGCGCAATGGACGCCAGTTCGTTTAGCAAGCCCATGCCGAACGTCATCTCACCATGCACATCCCACTCTGGATTTGCTTATCAATGTTCGATTTGCCACTACCTTTTGAGCACCAAAGACTAGAGGATATGGATGCAGGGATTACAATCTTGAATTTGTTAAAAAAAAATGCAGTTTGTGATGAGAATACGGATGTTGCCAAATTTCAAAGGGATAGGTCACTTCTTGTTGAATCTTTCCAGCAGGTGACCCCCAATTTCAATCTAAAACTGGGAGGTAAGAGGGCTATCCTACTCAAGGAACCCCAGATAGTAGCACCATACAAACGCTTAAGGAAATCGGTCCCCAGACGATTCATAGAACCAGTGCAACCTGCCCAACCTAGCAGTCGCGGGGATAATCTGCCAGCGATGACATTGGCCAGTACCCTACTGCCAACAGTGATTTTGCTACCCTGTCGGGTCTCAGGCCGACATCTGAACATCAAGATGTAACTCGTGTCTTCATTCAAAGTCCTTCTTTGAAAGTATCATCCCAGCCAGCACCAGGATTTACACATCAAATACCAGTGCCAGCATGTCTCAGAACAGGAATCTTCACCAGATGCTGTCAAATGGAGAACTATCACATAGCCCGAAGTCAACAACCACAAGTCCTTTTCCATGTCCAGTTCCTCATCTTCATCATCATCGTGTTCAACACCTGTCTAATGTTGATCGTATCCCTAGGTATTTTGACTTTCTGGAATACCTCCCTTCACCTGAATCGTTCCCCAAGCTACTTCCATCAGACGGAGACATATTACGACAAATCCATGTGATTGATTGGTTGTATGTTATTTAACGCCCCTGTCGAGAATTTTTTACTCATGAAGACGCCACCACTTGCCGGTGGAGAGTTGCAAAATTGTCCAATACTCGGTACACAGGGCGATTGAGCAGCAAGGGATCTCTTTCTTTCCAGTACCTACTGCGACAGGGGACCTTAGTTTACACAGTCTCTTCCACAGGACCGGTCTCCACGTCCCATAGTGGGATTCGAACCCGCGACTTAAGGACCAACGCCTTACTTCGCGACTCTAGAGCCGACGCTCTTACCACTGTGCCACGCAGGCGACAAATATGTTAGTCTAAAAAAGACGTCAATGGTAATCTATCAGGTATTTTACTTGAACACGACGTTAATGGTAATCTGACAACCAAACTCTCTGATAAGAGGGAAGACTTTTAACTTTTCATTTGTCAACTTTCCTTACTTATGCAGCAATTATATCTTTATCACCTGCACACGGTGTTATCTATCTCAGTTGATGCAATATGCAAGAGCATGCCCTACGTGTGAACAATTTCTAAAACGAGGTAAATTACTGACGAACAAGTTGATGAAAAAAAATTATAAGCAGTCTCGCTTGAAGTTATCATTTCGTAAGATCTATGGACGATACAATCTTGTCAGCAAATACAATTTATCATTTGAGTCATCAAATGCAGACTGACGTTTTTCATACTAATTGTTAGTCCATGATTTACACAATGAATAGACGACAGATTTTTACCATTATTTCCCGATCATGACAAGGAGCTAAAATTGACCACAACAGTTCAAGGATGGAACCACCTCCCCCTTTTATTTTTTTTCTCTGTCATGCTTGGATCGACGAATCATATTCCAATATGCATTACAAATTGGGTGAGGGGGAATGTGGCTCTTACCTCAGTTGCTTGTGATATGAATTTGTGATGTGGGGATTGATATACATACATGAGCTATAAATAAAAAAAAGTTGGCAGATAAATTGATCGATCTGAACAATTCTACAAACATCAGTGAACGGGTTACCAACTAGGGCTGTGTCAATATATCGATATTCAAGAAAAAATTACTTCCAATACGTATCGGACAAGCAGTTTTTCTTCTAATTCTGATAAAATGATGGAAATTTTAATCAGCAAAGATTATATTTCACTTTTTTGAATTAAAACTGATCAATAATTATCGATTTATAAAAGAAATAACACAATTTTTATAGTTATTTTAAAATACATAATTTTATTTTAACATTTTTAACAGTCATTAGAAGTTTCGATTGAAAGTGTTTTAATTACTGACTATGGCATAAGAACTTTGAAATGGGTTATAAAACACTTTTTTAATGAAATATTTGCATTAAATGATTAACAAACAATTTTTTGAAGGACTTGTTGTAGAATCCAATATATTGCATATCGCTTTAAAAAATATAGTATCGTATCAAAATTTTTTGCTCAATACACAGCCCTAGTACCAACCCAAATCCCGAGAAATTCAAGAGGTGGGAGCAAGCGACTAGGAGGAGTAAGCATCCCTTGTTGACCGATTAGGTAAACAAAAGGAAGGTATTACTACAGAGTTGAAATCCCTACAAATGATAAAACTTTTACAGCTGGGTTGAGGGAATTTTTAGATGACACAACAGAAACCTATGTTAGTCGTGTTCAAGAAATTTTTACCGATGCTTGCCATGATTCTGAAATTGACAATTTTAATATTTCAAATATGTCAAACGTCACGACAGACAGAAGTGCTACAGAGCAAAAGGTGAATAAAATATTGGAGGATAAAAGAAATGCATTACAAACAATGATACTGTTATTAATTCTTTTTAATGTTCTGTACATCCCCTTTTACAATTTTCAGAAAGAGATTTTAAAAGTTAATTTTTGTTCCCTTCAGTTTCAAAGTTGTTTTTAGATGATGTGGTGACAAAGTATACGCCCCAACGTATTTACAAGATGAATTTAATTTTATAAAGGTACCAATTATGGAGTATAGGGATACACTGTTTTATAACTCAGCAGGAACCTGCTATCTTTATAAGCAACTTTACACTACTTAAAAGGATCAAATAGTTCTTTAAATCTTTATCAAATTTTGATTTGTACAGCTCTTTCAGACAGCAATTGTGTATTTTAAAGTTTTAAAATACGCGCATTTAGAATTTTTAATGTACTTATCAGTAAACCGTATTGGAATTCTGTAGAAGTCTATAATTCTGCAATTGAAATGGGGAGTATTTACAGAGGAGTTGTCAACTTCCTTGTCTCCAGAATCCGGATCTTCTTTTATATACATGTACATTTAGTAAAATATGTTTGCTCTTTGGACCATCTGTTTTTAATGAATTGTTCTCGTATCTGTTTTTACTATATGCAAATAATGATGCTACATCTCATGTATTAGAGTTGGTGTTGTTTAAAGAACCAGAAGTCTCTGTCGAGACTGTAGCTCTACTGGTTTGTACTGATCAAAAACCGATGCACAGAATTATGTATCTTAGTGTAGTCTACTTGTGTGATAAGTTATATTGAAATCAGACCAAAACTGTAGAAGGAGTAGCATTTTAAAGGAATTCCACAGAAAATTCTACTTCTAGTAACCATGGCAACACCATTCATTGAAATCAACCAGAAGTCTCTGTCGAGACTGTAGCTCTACTGGTTTGTACTTATAACAAAGGATGAGAAAAGAAGCCATTGCCATCAGACAAAAACTGTAGAAGGTCATAAGTATCATTTTAAAGGAATTTCACAGACATTTCTATTTTTAGTAACAATAGCAACAATCTGATTAAAATCAGATCCTCGATCCGCTCCTTTGTTTTTTTATTGTCGCTACACGAGGATCTGAAGAAATCCCGTTGGAAGTCACCTCCTGGTGAACTTTGTTTAAGAATATTCATGAGTTGTTTTAGCCAATCGGAGCAAGTGTTAGAAACGACAATTCGGGATACAAACAAAAATGGAGTCGTTCAACGAAGCGCTAGCACATGTCATGAGTATTTTCTTTATCAGAGAGTTAAAGACTGAATAAAAGCAGATATTAGACGCACTCATAGAATCTAAAGATTGTGTTGGTATTCTTCCCACAGGATATGGCAAATCTCTGCCATATCAACTCCTTTTGCCGTTGAAGAAGGCATTGAAAATGGACTCTTGTCAGAAAGTAATCGTGTGTTGTCCACTTGTGGCATTAATGCAAGACCAAGTAAGGCGTTTAAACGAAATCCAAGGGATAACTGCTGTATTCAAATGTAATTTTTCATTCATCTCTTATAGCCTAGTATGATGCATCTTGTTTTGCAGCCCATATAGTATATTAGCACACAAATTCGCTTACAATAAGAAGAATGAAGATACAAAGAACGCATATTGAGATTATACATTGTTTGATTAGTTTTGGAAAACGTATTTTATTTGTGTAGGGGAAAAAAATTGCAACAGCTGACCATATTTTGGAACTAAGAAATAAACAAGAAAAAATGAGGACAGGTTTTGAAAATCTTTACCTAAATGTCATGATTTTTTTTTTTATTAAAAGAGGAATTACAGAAGAATAAAAAAAAAAATCAAGATTCAGTAATGCTCTGTGATTGTACTTTAAATGGTTTGTAAATCGCAAATGAATTCAAAGTAATTGCGCAATCAGGTCCTTGACCCCTCCTCTGTTTTCTTTTAAGGACAAAAAAATAGAGGATCCAGGAGCTGATTTAGTGATTTTTATCAGTTTGCAGACTAAACTAATATTTCATTACATTTACAGGTCACAGTGTGGAAACAGATGACAACATATCTCTTGGGAAGTTTGATTACTTGTTTGGATCTCCATAGAACTTAGTAGGAAACAGAGAGTTCAGAGATGAAATTCAAAAGTTTAATGTCTCGACAATTGTGATAGATGAATTCCACACCATTGCATCATGGTAACACATCATTCTACAATAACATGCATGCTCGCACTCCCTTAATATGTATAAATATATTTCAAATTATATATTTTCTTTTTGCCACTTGTAGAAAGTAATCATCTTGAGAATACAGAGAGTTAAATATAGAAAACTTAATATCTTTTAATTGTGATGTAAAAATTTTTCAGGGGCCTAGATGATAAAAAGAGAGAAGCTTTCCGAAAGTGGTTTGGGAAGATTGGAGAATTGAGGTCCTTATTCCCACAAGCATCAATTCTAGCTTTAAGTGCCACTTGTACCAAAAAAATTTCTCGTAGAGTGTATAAGATTTTAGATTTAAGTGAAGATACTATCGAGATTAAAATTTCGCCAAATAAACCAAATATTAAATTAGTTGTTCATAAGATACCTAACAGTTTAGAAATGGCAGTGTTTTGGATTATAGATGCCTTGACTGAAGAAAAACTTCCAAAAAGTCTTTTGTTCTGTAAATCTATTCAAGATGCATCTAGTATGTATGCCCATATTGTTACAGAAATTCCAGATTGTAGGGTTGTTGAATTGTTTCACTCAGAGACTCCAAGGGAAAGTAAAGATAAAATTATTGAGGAGTTAAAAAATCCAAATAGTGATATTAAACTTGTTATAGCAACAACTTCTTTAGGAATGGGAATTGATTGTGTTAATTTTAACAATGTCATTATTTTTGTCCACATGTCAGTGTTGTAGACTTGATACAAGAAATTGGTAGAATTGGGCGTGATGGCAAAAAATCTATTGCCCCAATTTTTTCAATTCCTATTGCTGAAGTAAAAAAAATTTTGAAAACCACTGAATGTAGACGAACTGCAATGTTGATGCCATTTTTAGATGATAAGGAACTGGTTGAACTAGAAACAGTGACTACTGACTGGTGTGATTTATGTTATAATCAATGTACCGATAAAAATTGTACAGTTTTTGGAGTGGAAAAGCTCTTTGTTAGTCCAGCTGATATTGATAATGATTGTTCAACAAGTTGTAGTGACCTTAGTGAGCAAGATACCTTGTCAGATGATTCAGACTGGGAGCTTAAGGTTGATCTTGGACCAGGTGAAAAGAGTTCAAAATGCTAGTGAAATGAGTGAATTTTTGCATGTTCTAAATTATTAAAAACAGTGCGACATTTAACTCCGGACACGACATTTGTCTGGACTTTCGCCAACCACTTTTCCAAAGATACATAGAAAAAATTTATGTCATCCGGTGGGATTTTTTTAATCGCACAACATGGGCTAACCTTTACACCTGAATATCTTCCAGTTTAAAAGATATTACACCTGAAATCAAGAAATCCCATGGGATTATGGTGGGATTTTCTCTCCTAACCAATATCCCACCATTATTCTGTGGGAGAAAAATGAGTTCTGTGGGATTTTTTCTCCTATAGAATCAAAATTCCCATTTTTAACCTTACATGGGATTTTTTATCCCATAAGTTGTGAAATGGGACAAGAAGTTCCATAATTGTCACAAATAGGATTAAAAGTTCTCTATCATAATGTTTTATAGAATATATTATCCTACAGGAGAATGGAAATTGTTTTTATCTCTTTAATTCTTTCCCTTTGAAAATTTCAGTCCTGACTCTTTCCATTTATCATTTTACATTTAGAAAGTACATGCTATTGCAAGCAAAATAATACCAAATTGGCAAAATTTCATTGAGAAATAAAAAAGTTATGGCCATTCAAGAGAACACAGCAGTACGATTAACAGAGAAATTTGGTATGATGATGGATTCTCCCTATGAAAATTTCAGTCTTCTTACAATTTATCATTTTACATTTAGAAAGTACATGCTATTGCAAGCAAAATAATACCAAATTGGCAAAATTTCATAGAGAAATAAAAAAAGTTATGCTCATTCAAGAGAACACACCACTCCGACTGACAGAGTTTAACATGATGATGGATTCTCCCTATGAAAATTTCAGTCCTCTTACAATTTATCAATTTTCATTTAAAAAGTACATGCCATTGCGAGCAAAATAATACCAAACTGGCAAAATTTCATTGAGAAATAAAAAAGTTATGCTCATTCAAGAGAACACACCTGTCTGATTGACAGAGTTTAACATGATGATGGATTCTCCCTATGAAAATTTCAGTCCTCTTACAATTTATCAATTTACATTTAAAAAGTACATGCCATTGCGAGCAAAATAATACCAAACTGGCAAAATTTCATTGAGAAATAAAAAAAGTTATGCTCATTCAAGAGAACACACCACTCCGACTGACAGGGTATTACATGATGATGGATTCTACCTATGAAAATTTCAGTCCTCTTACAATTTATCAATTTACATTTAAAAAGTACATGCCATTGCGAGCAAAATAATACCAAACTGGCAAAATTTCATTGAGAAATAAAAAAGTTATGCTCATTCAAGAGAACACACCTGTCCGATTGATAGAGTTTAACATGATGATGGATTCTCCCTATGAAAATTTTAGTCCTCTTACAATTTATCAATTTACATTTAAAAAGTACATGCCATTGCGAGCAAAATGATACCAAACTGGCAAAATTTCATAGAAAAATAAAAAAGTTATGCTCATTCAAGAGAACACACTAGTCCGATTGACAGAGTATAACATTATGATGGATTCTCCCTATGAAAATTTCAGTACTCTTTCAATTTATCATTTTACATTTAGAAAATACATGCTATTGCAAGCAAAAATGATACCAAATTGGCAAAATTTCATTGAGAAATAAAAAAGTTATGCTCATTCAAGAGAACACACCAGACTTAAGTACAATTATCGGAGTAATATGACATAATGAAGGATTCTCCCTATGAAAATTTCAGTCCTCTTACAATTTATCATTTTACATTTAAAAAGTACATGCTATTGCAAGCAAAATAATACCAAGCTGGCAAAATTTCATTGAGAAATAAAAAAGTTATTCTCATTCAAGAGAACACACCAGTCCGATTGACAGAGTAATACATGATGATGGATTCTCCCTATGAAAATTTTAGTCCTCTTACAATTTATCATTTTACATTTAGAAAGTACATGCTATTGCAAGCAAAATAATACCAAATTGGCAAAATTTCATTGAGAAATAAAAAAGTTAATTTTGACCATTCAAGAGAACACAGCAGTACGATTAACAGAGAAATTTGGCATGATGATGGATTCTCCCTATGAAAATTTCAGTCCTCTTACAATTTATCATTTTACATTTAGAAAGTACATGCTATTGCGAGCAAAATAATACCAAGCTGGCAAAATTTCATTGAGAAATAAAAAAGTTGTGCTCATTCAAGAGAACAAACCACTCCGATTGACAGAGTATTACATGATGATGGATTCTCCCTATGAAAATTTTAGTCCTCTTACAATTTATCATTTTACATTTAGAAAGTACATGCTATTGCAAGAAAAATAATACCAAACTGGCAAAATTTCATAGAGAAATAAAAAAAGTTATGCTCATTCAAGAGAACACACCACTCCGACTGACAGAGTTTAACATGATGATGGATTCTCCCTATGAAAATTTCAGTCCTCTTACAATTTATCAATTTTCATTTAAAAAGTACATGCCATTGCGAGCAAAATAATACCAAACTGGCAAAATTTCATTGAGAAATAAAAAAGTTATGCTCATTCAAGAGAACACACCTGTCCGATTGACAGAGTTTAACATGATGATGGATTCTCCCTATGAAAATTTTAGTCCTCTTACAATTTATCAATTTACATTTAAAAAGTACATGCCATTGCGAGCAAAATAATACCAAACTGGCAAAATTTCATAGAGAAATAAAAAAAGTTATGCTCATTCAAGAGAACACACCACTCCGACTGACAGGGTATTACATGATGATGGATTCTACCTATGAAAATTTCAGTCCTCTTACAATTTATCAATTTACATTTAAAAAGTACATGCCATTGCGAGCAAAATAATACCAAACTGGCAAAATTTCATTGAGAAATAAAAAAAGTTATGCTCATTCAAGAGAACACACCACTCCGATTGACAGAGTAATACATGATGATGGATTCTCCCTATGAAAATTTTAGTCCTCTTACAATTTATCATTTTACATTTAGAAAGTACATGCTATTGCAAACAAAATAATACCAAACTGGCAAAATTTCATTGAGAAATAAAAAAGTTATTCTCATTCAAGAGAATACACCAGTACGATTGACAGAGTAATTTACATGATGATGGATTCTCCCTATCAAAATTTCAGTCCTCTTACAATTTTTCAATTTACATTTAAAAAGTACATGCCATTGCAAGCAAAATAATACCAAACTGGCAAAATTTCATTGAGAAATAAAAAAGTTATTCTCATTCAAGAGAATACACCAGTCCGATTGACAGAGTAATTTACATAATGATGGATTCTCCCTATGAAAATTTTAGTCCTCTTACAATTTATCAATTTACATTTAAAAAGTACAAGCCATTGCGAGCAAAATGATACCAAACTGGCAAAATTTCATAGAAAAATAAAAAAGTTATGCTCATTCAAGAGAACACACTAGTCCGATTGACAGAGTATAACATTATGATGGATTCTCCCTATGAAAATTTCAGTACTCTTTCAATTTATCATTTTACATTTAGAAAATACATGCTATTGCAAGCAAAATGATACCACATTGGCAAAATTTCATTGAGAAATAAAAAAGTTATGCTCATTCAAGAGAACACACCAGACTTAAGTACAATTATCGGAGTAATATGACATAATGAAGGATTCTCCTTATGAAAATTTCAGTCCTCTTACAATTTATCATTTTACATTTAAAAAGTACATGCTATTGCAAGCAAAATAATACCAAGCTGGCAAAATTTCATTGAGAAATAAAAAAGTTATTCTCATTCAAGAGAACACACCAGTCCGATTGACAGAGTAATACATGATGATGGATTCTCCCTATGAAAATTTTAGTCCTCTTACAATTTATCATTTTACATTTAGAAAGTACATGCTATTGCAAGCAAAATAATACCAAATTGGCAAAATTTCATTGAGAAATAAAAAAGTTAATTTTGACCATTCAAGAGAACACAGCAGTACGATTAACAGAGAAATTTGGCATGATGATGGATTCTCCCTATGAAAATTTCAGTCCTCTTACAATTTATCATTTTACATTTAGAAAGTACATGCTATTGCAAACAAAATAATACCAAACTGGCAAAATTTCATTGAGAAATAAAAAAGTTATTCTCATTCAAGAGAATACACCAGTACGATTGACAGAGTAATTTACATGATGATGGATTCTCTCTATGAAAATTTTAGTCCTCTTACAATTTATCATTTTACATTTAGAAAGTACATGCCATTGCGAGCAAAATAATACCAAACTGGCAAAATTTCATTGAGAAATAAAAAAGTTATTCTCATTCAAGAGAATACACCAGTCCGATTGACAGAGTAATTTACATGATGATGGATTCTCCCTATGAAAATTTTAGTCCTCTTACAATTTATCATTTTACATTTAGAAAGTACATGCTATTGCTCTTATTCTGTATTTTGTGTTGATGTGCAGTGCTAAGTTTGAACTATCTCGGAAGATTTCAATACATATTAAAAAAAAAAAAATAAAAAAAAAAAAATAAAAAAAACTTGAGATGCTTGATATTAAACAATAGTGCTAGTTTCCCTATTTAGTTTATTTCACAAGTTCTGTATCTATCTGAAATGTACTGTTTGTACAGTGCTAGTATCCCTATTTAGTTTATTTCACAAGTTCTGTATCTATCTGAAATGTACTGTTTGTACACTTTGAATACAAGATTATTGGTAGGAAAGTTAACTACATGTGTATACTTTTCATACAGAATTTACATTTGATATATCTTTTACGTTCTGTTTTCTTATTTTATTTTTAATTTCAATTATTTCTTCAATTTGAATGATTTATGTGTGAAATTGTGATTTCTAGAATAACTTCCTGATAACATATAATGTAATGAACACATTATTTTCTATATATACCAACAGTTCTAAGGAGACCTCTTTGAGTATTTACTATAATTTAAATCAATGATCTATAAATTGTCATTTTTCTCTATA